ACTCAGGAGGCCAAGATCTGAGAATAGAGGTTTGAAGCCAGCCTGGACAGAAAAATCCATGAGACTCTTATCACCAATTAGCCACCAGAAAACTCAAAGTGGACTGTGGTTCAAAGTGCTACAGGCCTAGTTTTAAGCACAAAGCTCAGGAACAGCATCCAGATCCTGAGTTCAAGCCCCACAACCGACAAAAAAACCCACCTGATTTCTCTGTTAACAAAGTCACAGAGCCTGTTACTACCATTAAAATGTAAAGATTCTAGATTTTAGTTAGAAGCTAGGTAAAGCAAATGGGAAAGCTTTTCCTCATCCAAGCTTACACACTCCTTCAGTTCTACCCAACAACCTACATTAAGAATCACTGCCTGGGGTCTAGGAAGGTGGGTCAGTGGTAGAGTGCTTGCCTTGCATGCATGAAGCCCTGGGTTCGATTCCTCAGCACCACATAAGCAAAAAGAAAAAAAAAAAAAAAAAAAGAATCACTGCCTGCCAGGCTCTGGTGGCTCACACCTGTAATCCTAGCTAATCAGGAGGCTGAGATCTGAGGACTGCAGTTCCAAGCCAGCCCAGGCAGGAAAATCCATGAGAGTCTTTTTTTTTTTTTTTTTTTTTTGGGGGGGGGGGGTGGTCCGGTCATGGGGCTGAACTCTGGGCCTCAGCGCTGTCCCTCAGCTCTTCAGCTCAAGGCTAGCACTCTACCACTTGAGCCACAGCGCCACTTTCAGCTTTTTTCTTTTTTTTGCTTATGTGGTGCTGAGGAATTGAACCCAGGGCCTTGAGCATGCAAGGCAAGCGCTCTACCACTGAGCCACCTTCCCAGCCCAATCCATGAGACTCTTATCTCCAATTAACCACCAGAAAACCAGAAGTGGTGCTGTGGCTCAGTGGTAGAGAGCTTGCCTAGAGCTGAAGAGTGCCCAGGCCCAGAGTTCAAGCCCCATGACCAACCAACCAAAAAAAAATCATTGCCGTGGGGCTGGGAATGTGGCTTAGTGCCTAGCAGGCAGGAAGCACTGGGTTTAATTCCTCAGTACCATACAAACAGAAAAGGCTGATGTGGCACTGTGGCTCAAGTGGTAGAGTGAGCAAAAGAAGTTCAGGACATTGCCTAGGCCTTGAGTTCAAGTCCTAGGATGGGGGGGGGGGGGGGAGGGAGAAGAACCACTCCCTTAGGGGAAATTGCAAAAGTAAGTTGTAAAAGGAAGAGAGTTGTGTTCTACAAGCCAGACTTCAAACTTTAGTCCCTGAATAACTGAATAACTTTTAGATATCTAAGTTTTTTGGTTCCCTCATTGAGAATAATGCCTATATCATGAACTTGTAAGAAATCAGTATCAAAGAGGACTTTAAGAGTAGCTCAATGGTAGAGTACCTGCTCAATCCCTACACACACACACACACACACACACACACACACACACACACACACGTGTCTGTTGTTTGATTTTTTTTTTCAAGGCTAGTGCTTCTACCACTTGGAGCCACAGCTCTACTTCCAATTGAGTAAAAGAAGCTGGGGACAGTATCCAAGCTCTGAATTCAAGTCCCAGGACTGGCACCAAAATAAAAAATAAAAAGTGTTTGGAAGATTTGGAAGAAACAAAAAATTAAGAAAGAAAACAACCGGGGCTGGGAAGTTGGCTCAGTGGTAGAGTGCTTGCCTTGCATGCATGAGGCCCTGGGTTTAATTCCTCAGTACCATACATAAGCAGAAAAAAGCCGGAAGTGGCGCTGTGGTTCAAGTGGTAGAATGCTAGCTTTGAGCTGAAGGACAGGGCTCAGGCCCAGAGTTCTAGCCCCACGGCTGACAAAAAAAAAAAAGAAAGAAAGAAACAACAGGGTTGTTTATTTGGCTCAGTTGGCAAAGCACAAGCCAGAGTGAGAATATCATGTATTGAGTTTGAGTCTTAGTCTTGGACCAAAAAAGAAAGTAAAGATTTGCTTGGAATATTCCAATAAATGTTTATTATTAAGGTTGGACATATTCTAGGGTAGCAGTGTCTTTTTAAAACCCAATTTAAGCCAAGCTCACATCTGTAACCCTAGCTACTCAGGAGGCTAAGATCTAAGGATAGAGGATCATGGTTCTAGGCCAGCCCAGGCAGGAAAGTTGATGAGACTTATCTCCAACTAACCACCTGAAAAACCGAAGCAGAGCTGTGGCTCGAAAGTAGTAGAATTGTAGCCTTGAGCAGAAAACATCAAGGACAGTGTTCAGGCCCTGAATTCAAGCCCCACAACCACGCCGCCCCCCCCCCCCCAATTAATTAACTAAAAACCTAACATGGTGGGAGCTGGTGACTCACACCTATAATGTGCCCTACTCGGACAGCTGAGATCTAAGGATCCTTGTTCAAAGCCAGCCTGGGAGGTAAATCTAAGACACATTCGTCTCCAATTAACTAGCAAAAAAAAAAAAAAAAGCTGTAAATGAAGGTGTGGCTCAAGTAATAGGGTATGAGAATAAGAGACGGAGTTCAAATCCCAGTATTTCTACCAAAACAAAACAAAAAACACCTAACTTAAAGATCTCAAATTCATCAGCTTCCCAGTAACAGACTGGAGAAAAAAGTAAAAGCATTTACTTTATACTAGAACACTACAGGGTAAAAAAATTCTCCCACACGACTCCAGAGCCCCCGTCCCCCTAAAGACTAGCCCCGAGTGCATTTTGGAACCTATAAATTCCTTTCCTCATTGAAAAGATTCTTTTTACAGGCAGAGTGAACAAATGCCCATTTGCCAAGTTGCAGCTTTGCTGGTTTGACGTTTCCACAATGTAAGTACATTATCTGGAATCTACTCAAAGGCAGTCAGCTGATACTCGCTGCACACAACAGGACAGAAATGAGGAAAACTAAACTTCGTATTTCTGTAAGACAGTTATCACTACCTTGACACAACATGAGTACAACTGCAGTCCCCATTAAAGCAACAAAATTATATCTATTGTTCAAATAGCCCCTACACACCCACAAATTGGCTTTTCTCAGATGAAGTTTTCTCATTCTTGGGATTTTCCTTTTAAAGAGTTTTTTAATCGGTTCACAAAATCAATCCGTAGCACGCAGCCGCAGCCAGAGTAACTTTACAAAAGGTCAAAGCGGTGCCTTTCAAGGCTTCCAAAGCCTATTGGCTTCTCTGTTCAGAGTAACTCGCTTTCCCCAACCACTCCCCGAACGTTCCAGAGAGAGAAGGACGAGGACCTAACAAAATTTGGTGGACGTTGCTAAAACGCTTTCGCTTTCCAAAAAACACTCCAAGGGAAATTTAAAAGAAAAACACAACCAAACCCCACGTAACCGCATTTCACCTTCTCCTCTCTCCCCTCTCCCCCTGCACCCCCCCCCCCCCCCGCGATCCCACATGTTGCTCACCTCCCTCCCAGACGGCCCCGCGAGGCCGCGTCTCCCTCGCGGAGGGCGCCCACCTGATTACCCATTTCCCCGACAGACTCCGCCCCCCGCCCGTCTGCCTCCTTCAGGAGGTCCATATGGGACACTTTCCTTCCCCGCTGGTCATCACGCCGCGCCAGCCAGGTCCCCGGCACCCCACCTTCCACTCTCCCCCGCCGCCGGCCTCGTCCCCACGGCTCCCCGCAGTGTGGGGGGCGCGCGGAGTGAAGCGGCGGGCCTGCGCGGCCCAGGTGCTGTGTCAGCCTGTCTGCCGGCTCCGCGGCGTGTGGGGCCTGGAAAGTCACATGGCGCTGCGACCCGCAGGCGCCGCCACGCTCCGGAGCTCTTCTCGAGGGGAACAAGAAAACCGAATCCGCTCACCTCCACGAAGAGCAACATATCTTCCTCCACTCGGACCCTCCGCTCGTTCCCGCCGCCGCGACTCCAACTGGCTCACAGGCCCGAGCCCCAATCGCTAGGATAAGGACACTCGCCTTTCCCCTCCACCCGGCAGTGGACGCGGCTCCTCCCCCGCCGTCAGCCGCTGCGGCCTCACAGCCCGGTCCCGCCTCCCTTGAAACAGCAACTGCTTCCGGCTTCACGAACAAACTACTTCCTGGAGGAGACGGAGCGCAAGGCGCGCTCAACTCTGGCACTACCTTCAGGCGGTGTGGAATGTACTATCTGTGGTCTGCAGTAGGGGGTGAGGGCAGGGGTCAATAGGAGGCACCATTCTGGGCCACGGGGTAGAAAGAAAATTTCACCGAAGCTTCTCAATCACTTGCCAAGCTACCCCAGTGCTAGTAACACCGCGGTTTTCACATTTCCCTATCCAGATCTAATTAAAAGCCCATCTTGTACGAAACGAACTAAAACACCTAAGCCTGCTAAACCGTAGTGGCTTACGGGGGGAAAAATAAAATACTTTTTTTTTTTTCCTAAGCTACAGAGAAAAAAAAAGCTGAAGTACAACTATTTTTACTTATTACAGCTTCTGTATACAAAATGCTGACTATAGTAAAATGAGTGAAATCATTCTAAAATATTCCCAGTTTAACAGTGAAGTCTAGGACTGCGAGTTTCCCTGACACACCTTTAAAGAACTTTGCCCTAAACTCTCAGGAAATAGATTATTATGCTACAGCGTTTGAGTTAATGCTAATAGCCTCTTCATTGAGATTGTGCTTTATTTTTTAAAAATGCATTAAAATAATATTTAACTATGTAAGTTTTGCTAGATTTATCCTTCCTTTACCCTTCCCTTCAGTCCCACTAATATGCTTCTTCAAATATCTTTCTTAATCATGTCGTGATCTTCTCCAACATTTTCTTCCATTATTTTTTTTTAATCCTTCTAGACTGAAGGTTTCACTTAAACTAAAACCTTTTAAATCCGATTCTGATTCCATTTGCTTTTAATAACTTAATTTTCTTTGCTTTACCTTAAAGGAAACACCTCAGTTTCTCACTTAAATACCAAACTCCTACCACTCAGTTGCTGATAATAGTAGCTTAACCTTTCTAATTTCATCACCCCTAAACTACTTAATCTCGGAGATTAAACTGCATGGCCCCCACTCCATATAAAAACTCTGTAGTACTCACCTCCAAAGCCATGACTCAAGATGTCTTCTCTGTCTGTAGTGCCTTCATTTGTCAATCAACCATCTCTCTCCATAAGGTTTTCCCAAAGACTCTGTTTTCCACAAATCTTTTCATGTCCTTTATTAGCCCTTGATTATTCCATTATTCTTTTTAATTTTTCGTCGTTCTTCAGTTTTTCATACAAATCCTACCATAAATTCTTCTCAGATCAGGATAATGGTAACTGCATAACAGTGTCTCAACAAATGCTTATCCAATTAAAAGAGAAGAATTTTAAAGCTGGCTTTTAAAAAGCCTTAATTCCCAGTTGATGAGGAATTCCATGCTGCATGGAAAATGGTGGGAGAGGAAGAGAAAAAAATGCTAAATTAGTTTTTGACAAATTTTAAGGTTGCTTTGTCCCTACTAGGGTAAACAACAAAAGAAAGGCTTTTATAATCTAATATAGTTTATTATATTTGTTTATTTTGCTGGTCTTGGGCCTTTAACTCAGGGCCTGAGCTCTGTCCCTAAACCTCTCTATGCTCAAAGCTAGAGCTCTACCATTTGAGCCACAGCACCACTTCCAGCTTTTTCTGTTTATGTGGTACTGAGGAATCAAACCCAGAGCTTCATGCATGCTAGGCAAGCACACTACAACTAAGCCATATTCGTAGCCCTATAACCTAATATTGTTATCCACAAAGTGTTTAAGGAGGTGAATTGATGTCAAAGAATGTTAGATAATATTTTAATTAGGCCGGGCACTGGTGGCTCACACCTTTAATCCTAACTACTCAGAAAGCTGAGATCTGAGGATTGCAATTCAAAACCAGCCCGGGCAGGAAAGTCCATGAGACTCTTCTCTACAATAAACCACTAGAAAACCAGAAGTTGCACAGTGGCTCAAGTGGTAGAACACTAGCTTTGAGCTACAGAGCTGAGGGGACAGTGCCTAGGCCCAGAGTTCAAGCCCCACAACCAACAAAAACAAAAACCCCTCAAGACCTATAAAGTGTTACAACATAATTTTGTTTTTTCTTTTTTGTTTTTTTGGATCCGGTCATGGGGCCTGAACTCTGGGCCTGGGCACTGTCCCTCAGCTCTTCAGCTCAAGGCTAGTGCCCTACCACTTGAGCCACAGCGCCACTTCCGGCTTTTTTCTTTTTGCTTATGTGGTGCTGAGGAACCAAACCCAGGGCCTTGAGCATGCAAGGCAAGCGCTCTACCACTGAGCCACCTTCCCAGCCCTTATAACATAATTTATAAATACCTACACTTGCAGTACAACTATATAGAGTAGTTGCAGATCCATCAAATTCATGATTGTTATTGCTTCTGGAAATGGATAGACAACACAAGGGGAAGTCAACTTTGCCTGTAATAATTTCCTTTATTTAGGGTCTGGGAAAGTGGCTCAGTGGTAGAGTGCTTGCCTTGCATGCATGAGGCCCTGGGTTCGATGCCTCAGCCCCACACAAGCAAAAAAAAAAGCTGGAAGTGGTGCTGTGGCTCAAGTGGTAGAGCGCTAGCCTTGAGCTGAAGAGCTGAGGGACAGTGCCCAGGCTCAGAGTTCAGGCCCCACAACCAGACCCCCCCCAAAAAAATTTCTTTTATTGAAAACATCTGTTCAGGCATGCTGATGCATAGCACTCAGGGAGGCCAGAAAACTTGGAATCAAGACCAGCCTTTGCTATATAGCAAGACTTTGTCTCAAAAAGAAAAATATTGGAAGCAAAAACAGAAAAGAAAAATGAACAAAATATTTGAAACAAGTATGACAAATATGTCAATGTTTGCTCCTTTCAGATGTTGAGCACATAGCAATTTGCTATATATATATTCTTCTCTCTCTTTTTTTATTTTTGTCGGTCATGGGGCTTGAACTCTGGGCCTGGGCGCTGTCCCTCAGCTCTTCAGCTCAAGGCGAGCGCTCTACCACTTGAGCTACAGCGCCACTTCCGGTTTCCTGTTGGTTTATTGGAGATAGGAGTCTCACGGTCTTTCTTGCCCGGGCTGGCTTTGAACCTCGATCCTCAGATCTCAGCCTCCTGAGTAGCTAGGATTACAGGCGTGAGCCACCAGCGCCCGGCTCTTCTCTCTCTTTTTGTGTGTGCTGGTACTTGGGCTTGAACTCAGAGCCTGAGCAGTGTCCTTTAGCTTTTCTGCTCAAGGCTAGCACTCTACTACTTGACTACTTGAGCCACATATCTTAAGTTTCTGCCCAGACTGGCTTCAAACCATGATCCTCAGGTTTCACCTCTTATGTAGCTAGAATTACAGGCATGAGCCATTGGTGTCTGGCTCACTCCTATTTTTAAGTAGAAAGTTAAAAAAATGGGGGAGAGGGGGCTGGGAAGGTGGCTCAGTGGTAGAGTGCTTGCCTTGCATACCTGAGGCCCTGAGTTCGATTCCTCAGCACCACATAAGCAAAAAGAAAAAAAGCTGGAAAGTGGCACTGTGGCTCAAGTGGTAGAGCACTAGCCTTGAGCTGAAGAGCTGAGGGACAGCGCCCAGGCCCAGAGTTCAGGCCCACAACCAGACCCGCCTTCCCCCCCCCCCCCCCCCAAAAAAGAAGGCTATCCATGAAGCTGTGGAACCAATAAAAACATCTTGTCCTTTAATTGCTCCAGTCTCCTAAATCATTTTTCAATCACATCTGCCCAAATTAGGTAGAAAGCAGCCTGTAGCATTACCTACAACTGTTTTGTTTTTTTTTTTGTCAGTCATGGGGCCTCAACTCTGGGCCTGGGCGCTGTCCCTCAGCTCTTCAGTACAAGGCTAGTGCTCTACCACTTGAGCCACAGCATCACTTCTGTCTGAGTGGTTTATTGGAGATAAAAGTTTCATGGACTTTCCTGCCTGGGATGGCTTTGAAACTCGATCATCAGATTTTAGCCTCCTGAGTAGCTAGGATTACAGGCGTGAGCCACCGAGGCCCAGGACCTACAATGTTTTAAGTACAACTATGTAACTTCAAAGCGTTCTACAGTCAGCCAGACTCCTTGAAATACCAAGTGAATGGATAGTGCAGAGTGTGATGTCCAAATATCTTTGAGGTTACTACATGTCTAGGAAAAGTTAAAGGACAACTGGGGAAATTGTAACATAATATTCCATTACAGGTTTACAAATATTTAAGTGAAAGCCCAGGAAGAGAGAAGAAGGAACAATTACATTTGAAACACTGTATCTTGAATAGCTAGGTTTTTAAGTTCATTTAAATAGAGCTACATCTATTTTTCTTAGCATTCCTGTTGTCTATGCTTTCCTACCCATCCTCCCTCTTCCACCCATCTACCACTGCACATATGGAATGCCTTGTTCTCTACGTATAATAAGCAATCTGAAAATGTTCAAGTCACAGATAATGTCACAATGGTTCCACTATGACATCACCAGATAAGATTACAATTTGGTTAACAACCTGACAACAGAGCAAGCCAAAGCTCTGGAAGGCAGGCTCCTAGATTCCTAGTGGACACAAAAAAGAAGGAGGAGGAGGAGGTGCTGGAGGAGAAGAAGGAGGAGAAATAATAGAAAGTTACCCAAAATTTCAAAATGTTAGCCAAAATACGAAAAAGATTCAACAGTGACTCGGAATCAGAAAATGAAAGCATAATTTCCAAGAAATGGACTCAAAATGGCCAAGATCCAGTGAGCTCTGAACTGGAAATTCCATACTCAGTGAAAAATGTCCTCAAAAAAATTGAGCAAGCACAGCTCCTTCGAGTCAGAGAGGTAGGTAGTAAGTCATCAGTTTACAGATTACAACATTTTTAGTTTGAACTTTCAATGACTGTGCATGGTTGTTTTGTTTTGTTTTAGAACTCACTTTACTTATGATATTTAACTATATTTAAAGTAACTATCAACTGACTTCAAATGATAATTTTACTTGGTTCTGTATAGCAAGTTTACATTTGGTATTAATCTCTTCAGAACAAAATTTCAAATTAAGCCTGGTGAAAAGTAAGTCAGGCTGGGCGTTGGTGGCTCTTGCCTATAATCCTAACAACGGAGGTGGCTGAGATCTGAGGATCAAAGTTCAAAGCCAGTCAGGGCAGGAGAGTCCATGAGACCCATCTCCAATTAACAACCAGAAAACTGGAAGTGGAGCTGTGGCTCAAAATGGGAGAATGCTAGCCTCAAGTAAAAAGCTCAGGAACAGCATCCAGGCCCTGAGTTCAAGCCCCACAAATGACAAAAAAAAAAAGGAAAAAAAGAAAAGGAAATTAGGTTTAGTGTAGTAGTATATGCCTATAATCCTAACACTCAAAAAGCTGAGGCAGCCAGGCACAGTGGCTCACACCTTTAATCCTGGCTCCTCAGAAGGCTGAGATTTGAGGATTACCATTCAACGCCAGCCCGAGAGACTCATCTCCAATAAACCTCCAGAAAACAGGAAGTGGTGCTGTGGCTCAAGTGGTAGAGCACTAGCCTTGAGCTGAAGAGCTGAGGAACAGTGCCCAGGCCCAGAGTTCGACCCACAACCGACAAAACAACAACAACAACAACAACGAAAAAAAACAGGCAGGAGGAGCTTGAGTTCCAGGTCACCTTGGGCTCCAAAACCAAAGTATGCCCCTTCCTCAATCAAATTAACCACTCTCCCACCAAAAAAAAAAAAAACAGAAGAAATTAAAAACTAAGGACAAACACAAGACCCTGGGTTTGATCAACATATTTATTTATAGCTACTTTCTCACTCTTCATACAAAATTTTTCCTGTTTCAGTTCCCACAACGATAACAAGGTTTGCTTTTTTTTTTTTTTTTTTGCCAGTCCTGGGACTTAAACTCAGGCCCTAGGGCTCTGTCTCTGAGCCTCTCAGTGCTCAAGGCTAGGGTAGTACCACTTGAGCCACAGTGCCACCTCTGGGTTTTTCTGTATATGTGGCACTGAAGAATCAAACTCACGGGGCTGGGAAGGTGGCCCAGTGGTAGAGTGCTAGCCTTGAGCTGAAGAGCTGAGGGATAGTACCCAGGCCCAGAGTTCAGGCCCCACAACCAGCAAAAAAAAAAAAAAAAATCAAACTCAGGGCTTCATACACTCTATGCAAGTACTCTACCACTAAGCCATATTCCCAGCCCAAGGATTTGCTTTTAACAGTTCTTACAGATAATAACTAGCATGTAATTAACAGTATTTTTGTCTTTGTTTGTTATTTTGTTTTTTTTGCCAGTCCTGGGGATTGAACTCAGGGACTGGGCACTACTATCCCTGAGCTGCTTTTGCTCAAGGCTAGGGTAGTACCACTTGAGCCACAGTGCCATTTCTAGCTTCTTTGGATTTTTTGTTTATGTGGTACTTAGGAATAGAACCCAGGGCTTCATGCATGCTAGA